TCCCTGGCTGTAGCACCTGCACTGGGAAGAGTGTGGCAGCATGGGGCCAATGTGAAACCAGTCCATGCCTCCACCACACCAGCAGGCTCCCTGTGACTTCCCACCTTCCCCTGTTTGCCCCAGCACCTCTTGGTGCTGCCTAAAGGCACGTGTTGGCACCAATTCCTGGCCCAAAGTTCAAGCTCCCCGTGTCCTTGCTCACTGGGGACACACTGGCTGCCAGTGGCAGCCCTGCCCCTGCGTGCCCCAATCCTCTCTGCACCACACTGACTGAGGGACATTGGGGGCCCTCAGGGAGGGATGTTTGGAGTTTCCAAGGACCCCCTGGCAGCCTGGAATGGGCTCAGGGGGGCCATGGCCACCACCCCGTTTGTGTGCTTGCTCCCTTCCTGCCTGGCCTCCTGCCTGGTTTGCCTTTAAACAGCCTGATAAATATTTCAGCCTGACCATGTTGTGTAAGCTCACCCTGCTCCTGTGCCAGCAGGTGATGGGAACACAGGCTCTGGCCAGGCTGCTGGTGGGTGCTGGGTGGCACAGCCTGGCCTCTTGTCTGCATCCTTGTGCCTCTGTTTTCACATCTGGGCACAGTCCCTGGCTGACTGTGCTGCCACTGGGTTGTTTTTACAGCCGGGCAAGTGTGGATCGTGGTGTGCAGGTGTGGGTGCCAAACCCCGCGGCTCAGCTCCCTGCACCCTCCCCTTTCCCAGCTCTCTAGAGCTCGGCAGCAGGGCCAGCCAGGCCCTGGCACCCCCAAACCAGTGCCCGGGAGGGCAGTGGCACACACAGCTTGTCTTGAGTGACCCCTCTGTCTGAGAGGGAAGAGCTCGTGTTTGTTGTCACATTGTCACCACATCAAATGGGGCTTTTCCAGACAAACTGGAAGAACATTCCCATTGTTCTGATCCGTGGGGCTCCTGCCCCTCAGAGCCAGGGCAGGAGGATGGGGTGGCAGGACCAGGGCATGGGCTCTGGTCCCAGCCTGCTGTTTCCTTCATTACAGAGTCAATGTTTGTCACCTTGGGGTGACAGGTGCTGCAGGGTTTCCTGCAGGGTGCCCAGCTCAGGCATATGCCAACTCCTCCTCATCCACCCCTCCTTCTCTTCTTGTTTAGTTCTGCTGTGGTGGAGGGTGATGGTGGTCTGAAATGCTGCCCAAAGAGGAGAGACCCTGGCACAGGGAGCGGCTTTCATGGGAGCCATCAGGCTCAGGGAGAGGAGAGAGGACTCACATCGACATCCTGAGCTCCACGGGGCTGTTCCTGTGCCCATCCAACCTGCCCAGAGCAGCACAGCTTTTCCCTTTTCCCCTGAGCAAAGGCAAACCTGTGATGACATTCACCATCACATTCTCTTCATGGCAAACCTCCTGGGATGCTGGGCCCTTGGGGTTCCTGGTCCCCATGGAAGCAGCCCCCAGCAGGGACAGGAGTGTGTCCCGCTGCCACAGCCCATCTCTGAGGGCTGCACTGGCAGCTCCACGTGAGCCACAGAACCATAAAAATAACCACTCTGCCTCCCAGGGATGATTCATGATGCAGCTGAAGGGCTTCCCTCCTGCTATTTCAGATCACTGGAGAAGGAGCTGATGATAGCTTGTTTTGGAGGAGAACATGGCAGCTTTGGGAAGCGGCCCCAGGCACTGCCTGGTTTTATTTATCTGCTCCACAGATGCTTTTCTTTGTCAGGCGAAGCCAACACGGTCCAGGAGGTGAGAATCCTGCACACATCCTGGTTGCTCCATGGGCTCTCAGCTCCTGTTTGCTCCTATCTCCCATTACCAGGTAGTGTTATCCCGCAGGGTCCATCCAGCCCTGGGCAGCTCCATTGGCACTGGCAAATGCTGTGCAGGATGTGGCCATGGTGCTGATCCCAGGCAGCCATGGAGTCTCCTGCCCCTGTGCTGTGAGGTTTGGACCAGGAGGAGTCAGGAGAGCCCCTCAGTGGGATGAGCTCTGGGACAGTCCAGCAGTGGCTGGGGGGCAGAATTAGGTGCCCCTCATAAGGACTTTGTACCTTTAACCTAATCCCCCTTGGAAGATCTGGGCAGGTTTTGGGGTCTCTCTAGGCAGGGATGTCTTGCCCCTGCCAGTGCTGATGCTGCCTGCCCCACCTCTGCATCCTGCCCCAAACTTCCATATTTCCACTCTCAAACATCTCCCATGTTTCTTCCGTGAGGAAGGAACATGAGGAGGTCAAACACAGCATTGTTTATTTCTGGAATTCTGGTGAGTGAGTGCTTCCCTTAACTCCAAGCCATTGTGGTCCTGGAGAGAAGAGCAGAGCCCTGGTGTCCCCCTCAGCTGGAGCCATGTCACCATTCCCAGCTGTGGCTTTCGGGGTGCTCTGGAAGCACCTGTGGAAGGAGCTGGGAGCATCAGCTCCCTCCTGCCACTGGCAATTTTGCCCTGGACTTTGCTTTCCCTCACTACCCAGCTGCTCCTTCCCACACAGGAACTCATGCTGACCCTGAGGCATCCCGATGGGGACAGAGCATGGATTTTAGCAAACAGAAGTGTGGGAAGGCCCTCTCAGGCTTTGCTTTGATCCGTGACAGAGCCCCACCATCACACAAGACTTCCCACACTCCCTGGTGAGGTGATCCCTGTCCCTGCTGTGTCCCCTGCCTGTGTTTTTTTCCTTTTCCTTTTTTGGTTGTATTTGATGGCCACACTCAAGAGCTCCAGTCCTTGGACCTCTTTCTGCCTCCCTGGGGTGGGGAGAGCCCCATGCTGTGTGTGTGAGTGCACGTGCCCTCCAGAGCCCTTGGATACCCCCCATCAGGTCCCAGGTGCACTTTTTCCGCCTCTTTTCCCTTGTACACACCTGGAACAGCTGGGAGATGGTAAAAATAGCTGTGATGCATCCTGCAGCTGCTCCAGGCTCAGCTTGGAGCCTCTTATCCCTGAGGGAGGAGGAGATGAGCAAACTCCACATGCCGCAGCTCGGTCGTGTTGGGATGGGGAAGCATCTTGGATTTGAGATCTGGGTTAAGCGGAGCTGAGCTCAGCAAACAGGATGTTTCTGGGAGCTCCATGTGAAAGCAGAGGTGGTGCTCACGGAGGCAAAGCTTGCCTGGGATTTTCCATCCAAACAAAACCGGTTCATGTCTCTTTCTCTGTAAGTAAAATCCTGGAATACTCCAAGAGGGAGAGGGAGCAGCCCCAAGAAGTCCCTGCACATTGTGTACCCTGGGAGCTTGTGAAGCTCTGCCCAGCCATGGCTTTATCTGGTTTATTTATCTAATTATCTGTTTCTTGTTTGGGAAAACCCCTGAGGACAGTCTGGGATACGGATATGGATGTCTGTCTTATTCCTCTCCGTGTGCAGAGGCCTCTGGGTGTCAGGCAGGGATGGAGGCAGCTCCTGCTTCCTCCTCCTCCTCCTCCACAATCAGTATATGCCACACTGGAGGGAAGCAGCGGGGAGCAAAGGCTGCCTGGCACCGTGGGCATGGTAGGAAGGCATTTGGAGCCACCCTGGTTGTCAGGGGACCACCCCAGGGCCACTATGACCACAGTGGGACCACCCGTGGCCAAATTGGGGCCAAGTCAGGGCCAGCTGGGGAAACCAGGGCTTTCCCAGGAACAACAGTGTCCACACTGGGATAACATGTAGCCAAACTGGGACCACCAGTGGCCAAACTGGGACCAGCTGGGGCAACCAGGGCTGTTCTGGGGCCAACAGTGACCACATTTGAGACCACCAGTGGCCAAACTGGGACGAACTGGAGCAACCATGGCTGCCCCAGGGCCAACAGTGACTACAATGAGACAACCCATACCAAACTGGGACCAACTGGGGAAGCCAGGGCTGCCCTGGAGCCAACAGTGACCACACTGGGATCACCTGTGGTCAAACTGGGGTAACTAGGGCTAGCCTAGGGCCACCAGCAACCACATGGCCAAAATGGGACCAACTGGGGCCATATTGGGGTGTCCATGGCTTAATCCTGGAGCCAACAGCGACCACACCAGGCCCACTCATGGCCAAATTAGAATAACCCCAGGGCCAACTGGGGCACCCGGGGCTACAGTGGGGCCAACAGTGACCACACGGGGACTACCCGTGGCCACTCTGGGACCAACTGGCCCAGCACTGGCACAACCAGGGCTATCCTGGGGCCAACGGCGAGCACACTGGGATAACCTGTGGTCAAACTGGGACCAACTGGGACGCTCGGGGATGGTCACACAGCCCACGGGTGGGACCACGGTGGGCTTTACTGGAGTCAACTGGAGGCACCGCTGGGTCCAACTGGGATCCCCCCTTGCGGCAGCCCCGGGCACCGGGCCCCAGCCCCGCCCCTCCGCCATCCGCAGTGGTGGCCCTGGATGCCAATCACGGCCCGTGGCCAATCGGGTGGCGGCGGGGGCGGGCTCGCAGCGGAGCCAAAGTTGCCTGGCGGCGGCGGAGCCGCTCGGCTGAGTCGGGATCTGCGGGGCGCGACCTGCGCACCGCGTCCGTCCCTCCGGCACCGCACCGAACCATCCCTCCGGCACCGCACCGCGTCCGTCCCTCCGGCACCGAACCCAACCATCCCTCCGGCACCGCTCCCAACCATCCCTCCGGCACCGCTCCCAACCATCCCTCCGGCACCGCATCCATCCCTCCGGCACCGCATCCATCCCTCCGGCACCGCATCCATCTCTCCGGCACCACATCCCTCCCTCCGGCACCACACCGCGTCCGTCCCTTCGGTACCACATCGTGTCCATCCCTCCGGCACCGCACCGCATCCATCCCTCCGGCACTGCACCCATCCCTCCAGCACCGCATCGCGTCCGTCCCTTTGGTACCGCATCCATCCCTACGGCACCGCACCGCGTCCAGCCCTCCGGTACCGCCCTGCATCCACCCCTAGAGCACCGCACCGCGTCCGTCCCTACGGCCCCGCACCGTATCCATCCCTACGGTACCGTGCCCTACAGCACCGCACCGCTCCCTACGGCCCCGCACCGTGCCCCGCGGTACTGCTCCGCACCGCGCCCATCCCTACGGTACCGCACCGTGCCCTAAGGTACCGCATCGCACCGCACCGCTCCCTACGGCAGCGCACCGTGCCCTACGGTGCCACTCGGCAGCGCACCGCCCCCATCCCTCCTGTACCGCACCGCACCTCGCGGTACCGCGCCGTGCCCGGAGCCCGCAGCGCCCGCGCCCGGCGGGACCATGATGTCCTGTGCTGAGCTGCTGGCCGTGTGCCTGCTCTCCGCCGAGCGCGGCCCCGCGCCCCTCCGCCAGCCGCTCCCCATCTTCCACGACGTGAGTACCGCGGGCCGGCTCCCCGCCACCCCCCCGCGCCCCCCGGGCCGCCGTGCCTCCCCTCGGGGGTGGGTGTCAGGGGGAGACTCTTTCCCGCCCCTTCCCGGAGGAACCAGCCCGAAGGATGCTCCAGCCTGGAGCTGCGCATCGAGGTGTGGAGTCGTGATGGCTTAAATAATGGTGTCGTGTCCTTCTGATGAATTATGGGCCTCCGGGTGGCTGGAAACAGCCCACGCCTCATCCAGAGCTGGCTGTCGTGACTCCCGGAGCGGGAGCTGCGCGTGTCTGGCAGGAAGGTTCCGTGGAGCTGCTCGCAGCCGTGGGATCCAACAGGCAGAGCGCTGCCTGCTGCAGCCCCCGGGCGCGGCTCCCGTCCCTGCCCGCTCCCGACGCGCCGGGAGGTGTGGAGGAGGATGCTCCGTGCAGGTTGGGGGTCGGCCGGGCGTCCCAGCGGCTGTGAGTGACCGGGGGGAGTTAAGGTGCAGAGAGTGGCTGTCTGCGTGTCCAGAGGTGCTGGCACAGTGCCTCCCGTCACATCACATCCCCTCCAGCCCGGTGTGCTCCTGGGAGGGGGAGCTGCATGTCCTGGGGCCAGGGCTGCATCCCTGGCCATCTCCCAGGGTGAGAGCCCACCTCTGGAGCACATCGAGGTGCTCAGCTCTCCTGCCCCTGCCTGTCTGCTGTGACCTGGGTCGGGGGGACAGTGCCCAAATCTCCCTGGTGGGCCACCAGCCCCTTGCTGTTCCCATGTGTCCGACACCACTGTGGTCTGAGTCCAACCCCGTGGAGCCAAGGAGACGTGTGAGTGGAGGTGCTGCCCCTGCCCAGCTGCAGGACCGAGGAGAAGAAAGCCAGCAGGGGTTAAGGATGAGGGTTGGTGGTGCCCCAGCACCTGCACAGCCCAGGTCAATGCCAGCTGTCATCCCCCAGCTGTCATCTCCGTATTGTCCCAATCCAGCCTCACCCCCATGTCCCAGTTCATCCCAGAGGAGGGGAACGATAGATCTTGGGCAGCACTTTCGGAATGTGAGTGCCATGCCTGGTCCAGTCCAAGACCTCCTGGCATCTCCCTGGTGCCACTGGGAAGCACAGCTCCCTCTGTCAGGGTGGTGCTTGAAGCTTCCAGCTGGGAGTCAGGGCCTTTCTCCCGCCTGGGGGGATTTCGGGCTGGAAGGCTCTCCAGCCATTATCATTACCACGCTAATTACTTGGCTGAGGGAAGATGGGCTGGAGGGGATGGGTGATGACAGCTGTGTTCCAGCTCAGCTCCTCAGGGCACTCGCTCAGTTCCACATCTATCCCTCAGGGTGTCATCAAGGCAATTAAAATGGGAAATGTTAACAACTCTAGCAGCTGCTTTCGGTTCTGACGGCTTCCCTTCCACTTCCCCGTGGCTTCCTTTGCTCCCACCTCAGCTCCAGAGCTTGGCAGGGCAAGTTTAATATCTCCACTTCTGGCTCTGGGCAGTTGGCTGGTGTCCAGCTGCCCCCCAGGCTTGTTGGGGTGAGCATCAACAAGGAAGGATGCCCAGCCTGCCTTCCCGGCAGGACTGCCCACCGCAGATTCCAGGTGGCAGCTGCTCCTTCCCCTGGGACCTGCCTGCAGATGGCTTTCCTTTGAGAGAGGTGAGGAGGAGGAGAAGGAGGAGAAAGAGGAGAACGAGGATGATGATTTTACCCGAGACTCTTTGCTGCAGGCACGGTATAAACTGCAGAGCTGCCATCGCTGTTGTTCCCCTGTGCTGTTCTCAAGCCCTGGGGAGGTCTGTCCCTCAGGCTGGTGCCCGGGGCTCCTCACTGCTCTCCCAGGGTACGGGAGGCTCAGGAAGGACGCCGTTCACCGGCAGTGCCTGGTGCAGCTGCCTCAGCCCTCAGTGATGAACACGGTGTCACCAGGGTGACTGTCCCCTCCCCAGCAGTCACTGTGTCCCTGCCAGCCTGTCTAGCAGCCACTGTTGCTCCCAGCCCAGCAGGCAGGGAGAAGTCCTATAATGTCCCTCCTTCCTGAGGTGTGTAGGGGGTTCATCTCCCAGATAAATGCCATTTCAGTTCTTCCATCAGGCACCGAGCAGGGCTGTGGCTGCTCAGACCCAAGCCCAGGAGCTGGGGGCCAAGGGAACATCATGGGCTCCAGGCAGTGTCAGTCCAGGCTGCCAGTCCTCCCTGAGGCAAGTGAGGGGTTGCCTGTAGGGTCTCTTCAGTAGTCAACACAGACTTGATCCCATTCCCAGCCTGGCTTTGCATCACTTTTCCCTGGCTTTGTTCCAGGGCTGCTGCCCACAGGGGAAGCAGCGCTTACCTGCCATTGCTGAGCTTGTGCCTGTGCCTGGGGAGGGGGCAGGATTCACCCTGTGGAGTGTGGAAGTGGCTCTGCACCGTTTGTGCTTGGCTGGAGTTGGATCCTGTGTCATGCACAGGATCCATTGGTGTTTTCCAACATGAGCAGCACTCACTGAGGCACCTCTGCAGCTGGGTCGGCCAGGGATGGGCTCACTGGTGATAGTGAGGAACCCTGCTGCTCCTGGGGGCCATGGAACAGGTGTGGCCTCGCCCTGTGGGGCTCTCACAGCTCCCTGCTTGTGCCATATTAAAATAAATCACTTCAAGCAGCTGCTGCTGTACATGCACTGGCAGTGCTTGTGTAACACATTGCTCACCTGAGTGTGAAGGAGAAGCATCCACTCCGTTTGCTGAGGTTCCTACTAAATCCAGGATGGACTCATCCTGGATTAGAGATCTCATCTCCATGGATTCCCCCCCAGAACTATGTTCTCCCTCATAGTCTGCACACAGACCCCCCTGAGCAAGGCCAAGAATGTTTGGCCTCACCTGAGTCTGCATTTGTTAAGTGCCTGGGTGACACTTGACTGTCTCTGGGATGAGCTAACTGGCCTCGGTGACATCTGGAGCCATGAGATGTCAATGCATGAGCCATGTGTCTCCCTGATGACACAGAGCTCTGCAGAATGAAGCTTTTCCCTTGATGGAAAGTGTCATTCCCATGGCAGGACATATGGGACCCACTGGTGCTGCCCCTGCAGCCGGGGAGCCCTGGAATGTGTGACCCTGCAGCTGGGAGCCCAGAAGGAACCCGTTAGCCTGGAGAAAATTTTGCTTTAAAATCCAGAGAAATCTCTTCTGTTTGGAAGCTGCAGGTTCCTATCTCAGCTCCAAAGTGCATCCAGTGAGTTCTGTGGGGTGCTCAAGGAGCGCCTGCCCTGCTTTCTTGCAAGGGAAGGCAGGAATGGTGGGATGGAATCCCAGAGGGATGGTTACCTAGTGCTGGTCAGCCCAAGGCAGCCTCTGTTCCCTGTAACAGCTCAGGTCGAGAGGAGCTCACTTTGTTCAGAAGACCATCCTCCAAGGAGGATGCTGCTCCTGGAGGAGGTGTCCCTGCTCCTGGAGGAGGTGTCCCTGCTCCTGGTTTTGTGCAGGGAAGGACCAGGGAGCTCCCTGCTGGGACCAGCAGCAGAAAAGCCTCTTCCCAGTTACAAACCAGTGGCTTAGGAATGAGCAGTGCAGGTTTTCCTGGGCAGCTCTGTCTTTACCTCAGAGCAGTTTTCCAGGGAGATTTTGGTGGCTGGATCTCAGAACACACAGCAGAGCTGTTGGTGAGCAGAGCAGAAGGAAGGAGCCTGGGGCAGTGATGCCTCTGCCTGCTGCTCTGTGGGGATGTGTGGACAAGAATATAGAAGTCCTTTTTCTCCTTTTCCTGCCCTTTTCCATTCCTGATCTTTCTTCAGACCTGTGGATTTCTACATCACCGAGGATGATATAAAGGAAAGAGTTGCCACACACACAACTTTCAGTCCTTGGCTCCATTAGGCTGTGCTGGCCAAAACCTCGTAATGTTTGGTCTGAGAAGATGTTCTGAGGCTTTGGAAATGATGCCATTCCTCACTGGAGTCAGCCCCAGACCTTCAATAATTATTGGTGAAACAGATCCTGGCAGGGATGAGCAACCCCAGCTCTCTCCTGCGTCCTGGGCAGAAGCCTCGTGGTCGGGAACCCGCATTGAGGCCCTGAATTGAGGACTCCAACTGTGCTCTGTGTCAGAATTAGTTACAGATTAATTGACTCATTAATAATTAATTACAGCATGTGTGGACATGGAGATGTTGCAGGCAGGACTGTTGTGAGGGGTGGTTTTGAAGCTCAGGGCAGGAGCTGCTCCTCAGTGCAGGCGGTCGGAGTATTGGTGATGCCCTAAGTGCTTCCGTACGGAGTGGTTTTATACTTAATGTTCTTTCGTTTAAAGGCTCTGAAAAATTAAACATTTGCCATCACGAGGGTGTAGCAAAGCCCTCTCTGCTTCGCCTCCCTCTGTGTTCTCTGAGATGCTCTCTGTGAGCGCCGGGCTCGCTCGGTCGCCGCAGCTGCGCCGAGGGCTCTGTGCATTAGAGGCAAGAAATGGGTTTAATCACTGGCAAAGGGCAATTTCCCCGAGCAGCCTGTGCAGTCCTGGCAGCAGGGGCTTCTCCATGGCCCCCTGTGCTCCAGGAGGTGGTTTTGCATGGTGCTGAGTGCTGCCTGGCTCATCTGCCCTTCTCTCCCCACTGCCACACTGAGCTCTGTTGTATTTTCTCTTGCAGATTTTCCGGCGAGCCGACAAGAACGGTGAGTGCTTTGTTCCTGCTGCTGCCTCCCCCTCCCTGCCTGGCTCTGGGTGAAGCAGTGTGGCTCATTCCCACTGAGAGGTTTGGCTGAAAGAGTGAGGGAGGATAAGGGCAAGCAGTGCTCTGGCTGCAAGGAGAATGCTTTTCTGCTTTGCCTGGAGCAAGGGGCCTGGCCAGGGGCAGGGGAGTGGGCTCTGCCAGTTCACCATCCATGCACCACGCGGGACAGAGCCCTTTCCAAGCCCTTCTCCTGCCTGTATGCTCATGATTTCTCCTCTGTGCTGCTGACAGCCCAGGCCCAGGGGCCATCAGGCTTCTGCTCCATCCCTCGTGGGATTGACTCAATCTCTGTGCTCAGTCCAGGGGTTTACAGGTGACCCTGTCTCTGGGTAGCCCTGGAGCCTCTGGCATTTGGGAGTTAGGCTCTGCTACCCAGTTTTTAATGCAGCACCAATAAACCAAGAGGTCCAAAATCGCAAGTTGTTTCTCAGAGCTCTCTTGAGCTCTTTTCCTTTGTGGTAGCTCCAGGAACCACTTTTGCTGGAGATCAAAATTTAGCCCAGGAGCTGAAGTCCTCCACAGAGAGGAAGGGAAAAGCTCTAGAGTCAATGGAGAGATTTTCTTACCATAAAAACCTGTGCTGTTTGTAATGGACTCTCTCCTTGCACAGTCATCTAACAGAGTGTCTGCATGCATTTCTGAAATCACTGCAGTGGGCTCTTGGGAAGGTGCTGAAATTCCCACCTGAAATTCCAGCAGCAGTGTCCCTGCTTGCCAACACTCCTGGGCTTTGGCTGGAATGGTGGGACATGCTTTCAGTGAGATATCTGCTCTAATTATCATGCACAACATGCCCAGCTGTCCCACGTTCCCGGTGGAGCGGCTGCTGGGAGGATCTTGGGGCCTGGATGCTGCTTTCTGTGGATACATAATTACTCTCCCCCTTTTATTTAAATGCAGATGATGGGAAGCTGTCATTCGAGGAGTTCAAGAACTATTTCGCTGATGGGATCCTGAGCTCGGAGGAGCTGTGGGAGTTGTTCAGTGGCATTGACAGGCGTCACTCAGAGTAAGTCCCGCGGTGGCACCGAGGAGATGAAGGAGAATATAAACCTGCTTGAGTGCAGATGGAGGACGTTTGGGGGCGGGTGTGTGATAAATAGTCAGGGTGAGATCAACCCACCTCTTGCAACACGCAGATGTTAAAACCCACTGAACACCATTGGTGAAGAGGGGAGTCAGACATTTTGAGAACAGTCAGCAGATTTACTGTAGTTCCATGAAGCAAAGCAACCATCTAAGATGACATTACTGTAGTTTGAAAAATGTATTCCAGAAATACCCAGCTCGTGGAGCAGGTTGTGTGTCTGCAGGAGCATGTGGTGGTGTGAGGACAAGGCACAGACTGTGCAGAGTTTGCCACTGCTGACACAGGGAACTGCTTTTCACTTACATAAGAGCTGCTTTCCAACACAAGTGGGCCTGGTGCATGGAACTGGGAATTTAGGCCAGCTGCTTTTAAAAAAAGAAACCCCCAACGAACAGGAGAAGGAACTGTGTTTAGCCCTGGTCTGCTCTTGACTGGTGCTATCCAGAGCAGTCTGTTGGGCTGGGCAGGGTTTCTCATCCCAGTGTTTTGGACACCAGTGTGGCCTCACTGGGATCCCACTGCCTGGCTGTCTGCTATGGGTGAGTGTGTTCTGGCACTGGGAGAAACTGGGTGTTCATGAATTGCATGTCTGGGGTCTGTCCAAACACTGGGGTGCTGCTGGGGCAGAAGGGGCTGCAGCTTCCTTCTGGTCTTTGGGTCTGGCTGGTGCCACTTCCCCAGCTCCCCAGGAAGCATCTCTTGCACCTCTGACACCTTGGCCGGGGCAGTATCTCCATCAGGGAGAGAAAACCTGAGCAGCCTGAGCTGCACACACTGGTCCCAGGGCTTCACAGGGAGCCAGGGCAGTGGCACAGAAGGCCCTTGTCACACTGAATTCCACCAAGCCACTGACAGAGGATACCCAGCGGTCCCCACATCATCCCCCTGGGACTGGGGCAGTGGGGATGATGGACTCCTGATGGTGTTGGAGTGATGGGTTTATCTGGTGCTCCCACTTTGGTGATGGGACAGAGAAGTGAGCTGTTTGGGTGGCTTTGGTGCTGCTTTCTTTGGAGCCTGGCTGCCCATTGCTGCCTGTCCTGCTGGTTGGACTTGTGGATGTGGGCAGCAGGAGATGTCTCCTGAAAATACCTCTGTTTGGGCTGTGATCCCAGGAAGTTGGCTATAAACTGTTCCCTTTCCTCTGGGAATACTCCTTTCCTCTTGCTGCACTTTGGGGTGACCTTGGAGCCATCCCGTCCAGCACTGCTGGAAAACATGGGATGCAGCGAAGCCAGGAGACTTCACCAAGCCCTGGTCTGAACAGGGGAGACCTCCTGGCTTCCCACTGCTTTCAGACTGGGCTCATCCCACGTGTCTGGAGCAGGTGAGCAGGGCCGTGGCTGCAGTGGTGCTCCTGATAGCTCCTCACCGTGAGGATGGTGCCGTAGCCATGGAAACGTGGCAGTTGCGGCATCGAGCTGGTGACATCTATTAGTGGGGCATGAGCCTCGGGTCTTTGTTCTCTTCCTGTCATGAAGAGCAGAAGGGACCCTCAGACAGAGCCGTCTCCAAATTCCTGCACTCGGTGGCTTCAAGCCAACGCAGGAGACACCGTTTTTGGGATGTGGGGGGGGACTTGCTCCTCTGTGCAGCCTCTGGGGTCATGGAAAGGCTGTGCTGGTGCCCTGCTGTCCCCGTGGTGGGGGGCTGGACAGCCCCTCTCCTCTGGGCTTGGCTTGCACTTGCAAAACTTAGTATTTTAAAGAGCTGGCTGAAATCTTCTGCCAGATTCAAGAGTTATTACCTGAGGTAATAAAGTATTACAAAGCTGGAAAGCAGCTACAAGCTCTACAGACATACCTGGCGTGCTTCTTTTGTGTCCTGTAGGTTTTGTGGTGGTGGGAAAGTCTCACCCTCCATCCAGCTGGTGGATTTGGTGTTATGTTTGTCAGGTCTAGGTTGAAATTCGTGTTTCCTTGTCCATGTCAGCCTGACCCGAGGACAGACAGTAACAGAGACCTTTGTATCCAGGCCCTTTCCGTGTCTGGCACTGCCTAGAGCTGTCCTGACCTCCTCACCCATCTCTGTGAACCTGCAGCTGCTCTGGGCCCCAGAGCTGACATCTGGGAAGAGGAGAGAGTTCAGAGGTCTTCCACATAACTTGTTCTCTTTCCAGAGAGCCCACAGCACCATGTTCTCCCCTCCTCCACTTCCCACCCACCTGGTGCTGAGGTGGGACGCTGTGATCTGTGAATCAGGCACCTCTGTAGGGTTCACTTCAGATTTTACCTTCCCACATGAGGCTTTTTTTGTTCTGCATTTCTGAAAATTGTTGCATTTTGGCTTAAAATATCTCCTTGCTTTAATTCTGTGGCATTCAAGGGTTTATGTGGAAACCAAGTTCAGCTCTTGGTGGCAGTTTGGTGCAATACCTGGGACCACTGTTTGGTTTAGCTTGTTGGGAAGCTCCACACCAGCTCTGGCAGTGGCACAGGAGGATTCATCTCCCTGGACAACTGCATTTTCATCCACTGAAACGTCTGGGTGAGAAGGGACTAATGTTTTTGGAGGGCTGAGAGAGCTCCATAGCTGCAGAAGCATCTGGAGAGGTGTGGTTTGCTCTCTGCAGCCCAGCTGGGTGGGAGGAAGCAGATCCCAGGGTCTCATCAGGGCAACTTAATGGAGAGTTGGTTACAAAGGGCCTTGGGCTGAAGGTTGTGGTGCTGCAGAGGTTGCAGCTCTTTGCAGGGCACTGTGAAACCTGCCAAGGGAAGTGCTGTGTGGACCTTGCATGTCTTCCTGTCCTGCATCTGTTGGGGAAATTCGTAAAAATAAGGTCTGGAAAATCCTTCTTTCCACGAGGGTGTTCAGGAATTGGGTGCAGGCAGCCCAGAGCCTCTGATCTTGAGCCAGAAGTGAAAGAGGTGGCAGTGCTGACCTGGTGGCTCTTAAAGTGGAAATACTCTCAAGCCTGTGGTTCTCTGGAAAAAGGGATTTAAATGAACTTCCCTCCCCTCTCTTTACTCAGAGCTGCAGCATCTGCCAGTCTCTGAGTGATGGAGAGTGACTGAAACACTCTGTGTTGCACTGAAAAGGTTTGGAAACCCGATCTGTGATGGCAGAGGGGGTTCCCAACATGATAAACGATGAAAATAAAACAAAATCCTGTCTGCTTTTCAGCAGCTGATTGCTGTTTTCTTGCATAAATTCCAGGCACATTCTGACAAAATCCCAACAGCATAATGATGACAAGATCCTTCATCATCAGTTCAAGCTTAATTACAGTTAATCAGTGGTTTGAGCACAGTCAAAATACAGCTATGGGAGATGTGGAGAGCCTCAGGATGAGTGCTTTGGAGGCAGAGGATGGCTCTTCTCTTGGAGTGGGAGTGGGGATGGCAGAGAGGAGCAGGAAAAACCTGCTGCCCCCTGCAGCCCTGCAATATGGGCCAGGGTTTGATGTTCAGGGTCTTCCCATGAGCTCCTCCTGATTTCTGGGGTGAATTAGCTCTGGTAGCACAAAAATGGCACCACCAGTCCTGTGCTTTGCTTGCTGTGCTCTGTCTCACCCCTGGCTGTGCCCTGGGGGCTGCTGCAGGATGCAGAATGTGGGAAGAGATTCCCATGCAGGGTTGCTGTTGGAGCAGGCTGCCTCAGGAAGGGAAGGGAGCAGATCTTCCCCTGGACAACATCCAGGGGGCTGATTTTTGCCACAAGATCTCATCGACTGGTTCAGTGTTCAGCTGTTCAGTGCTTTAGTGATTGATTAGCCAATGCTTATTTTTAAGCAGCAAAGAGAGAAGATAAAAAGAGTTATTAATAACCCCTGGCCTCTCCTTAGAAGCCACGAGGTGGGTGTTGGTTGCAGCTCTTTTTCACACCTCAATGGAGCTCTGGTGGGAACTGGGCAGTGGCTTGAGCTGGTGGGTCCTTCTTCCTGGTGAAACCATTCCCAGCCCCAGGTCCTCACTGGGGACAGATGTGAATGCCTGGGTGATGTGTGCATGGGGTGTTTCACTGGCTATTTTGTTATCCCATGGCCATATATCCCCTCTGCAGTGATTTTTTTTACCCATCTCTTCCATGGGTGGCTGCAGTCACTGCCCTGGGGCACAGGTCTGACAGGCTGTGCCGTGGGTGCTGCAGTGCCAAGGCTCCTGCAGCACTGCAGCAGCTCTGCAGGCTCCAGGCAGCTTTCAGGAGTGAGTGGAAAAATTAAGAAGGAGCAAAAAACATTTTTCCAGTGTAAATTGGTGCTTCAAAGCTCAGTCACTCTGTCTGGCAGAGCTGGGATGGGATCAGCAAAGTTTTAATGGAGTGCAGTGGGCAGAAGAAGGGGTTGTGGTTCTGCAGATTTGTCTGGATTGTGTCTCGAGGGAAACACTGTTTTTTTAATCCACTTTAAAAAGCTGCCTGCAGTGCCAGGTCGGTGCCCTACCTAAATCAGCTCCTGTGTGTTTAAAATAGCTGAGCCAAATCACAGCCTCACACTGCCCCTCTCTGCTGCTACAGAGGCACCTAATGCAGTTACCTGAGCAGAGGGGGCTGCAGTCCCACTGCCCTGGCTCTGCCATGGATCACACCAAAATATTTTCATGCTTTGAAGGACTGCCTGTTATTAAAGGACAGTAAGTGGACACCCAGAAGAAACAGGGAGACAGAAACCAGCCTTGGATATGTGGAGGAAAAGCTATAGGAAGATTTTGCTTGAATCATTTCACCTGTTCACATGGCATTTTGGACATTTCACACGCTCTCCTCTAATTTTGCCTTGGGGTCCCTTTGCCCTGTGGGTAGTGTCAGAGGGGGGACAGGACGATGTGGCCTTGGTTTCACATGCCCTGGTCAGCAGCACTGCAGCTGTCCTTGTGCTTGGACTCCAGCAAACTCCAGGTATCACCAGTTCCTCCACGTGTGACAGCACTTAAACGATTGAAAAACAATTCGAAAACACTTAAAACCCTCTCTTTTGTGCTCTTTTCCACTTCCCCTATCAGGATTAAAAATGGTCGTAATCGTTTAGGGGATTTTGAGGCAGCACAATGCCTTGAGCAGAGGCTGATTTGAATAATTGACGTCCTGGGACAGGTCCCTGCAGGCTCTGGGTGATGCCAGATATGTGAGCAGCTCTGTCTCTGTGGCTTTGGAGACCTGAGCAGATCTGACAGCATCATGCAAACCCTGGGTTCTGCTTGACATCCCTTCCCAAAAACCTGTGGCTGTTTCTGGGTGTCTCCTCCTCCCTCTCCACCCCAGCAGCACCTTTATTAGCCAAAGGAGAGACATGCCTAAGCCCTGCAGGGGTGCCAGCATGGATTCTGCAGTGCAGTGCATTCTGTTAGTAAAAAGGGGTGAGGGTCTGGTCCCTGCTTCCAGGTTTTTAGACCCAGATCCCTGCTTTACTGGCCTTCATGGCAGGAAGAACCCCCCTCACGGGCTGTGAAACCATCCATCCCCTGCCCTAGGAGCCTGCAGGCAGCTCCACATCACCTGGGCTCTGCAGGCAGGGAAGGGGAGAGGGTCTGGTACCAAAGGGCAGCCATGGGGAAGGACCTGGGTGAGGTCAAGGGAGACACAAGGACAGAGCCCTGGCTTGGTGCTTCCCACTTTCGGGGGAAGAGGTTGGGTTGAAGAAGCAGCTGCAGGGCTCAGAAGTGGGGTTGCCAGCCCAGGGGTGTGGGGAGCCTCCATCCTGGCCCCTTCCTGCTGTCACAGACTCCAGGAGATGTTGGAGCAGCTTTGCTTGCTCCTTCAGCCCCCGAAGCCCTGCTTGGGTGCTTCAAGGGCTGGGCATGGCTCCTGAGCTGCTGGCTCTGAACTTGTGCAGCTTCTTATTTTTCTAATGTAGTTTCTGAAAATACATGGAATGAGCAGTAAATCCCCTGGGACTCAAGACAAGCCCTCAAGACCCTGCTCATCATACCTGTTTCTCCCAGAGCAGCCCTGTTATCTGACAAGAGCCTGTTTTTCTGTTTTTGCAGTAACGTGGACACGGAGAAGTTGTGTGGTAAGTCAAGGGATATTCCTGCCCTGGAGGGCTCCCTCTCCTGAAGGTCTGTGGTGGGATTTGTGTGTGTCTGACCTGGGCAGGACTGGGCAGTCAGGTGGCATTGACAGTCCCTGTGCCTGAAGCCCAGCTCTGAGGGTGTCTGGGGTTTTCCCAAGGGGATAGGGAAGGAATCTTCATCTCAGTCCAAGTGGGAGCGTGACTCTGGAGAGAGGGGGGAATGTCCCCCTGCAGCACTGGGCTGTGTGTGGGAAGAAGGGGCGGGGCAGGCAGAGATGGAGGTGCTCAGGAACCTCACCATGGTCTTCTCTCCTGCTTCAGATTATTTCTCGGGATATCTTGGAGAATACAGGAATGTGCTGTCTGCCCTTGAAACCCTCAATGCTGCTGTGCTGGCTGCCATGGACAAAACCAAGCTGGTAAGGAGGGGACCATGGGAGGGCAGCAGGGTGAAACAGAAGCTGTGGTGATCCTAGCTGCTTGCTTAGTGTTAAATTTGGGGTTTGGAGGCAGCAAATGTGGTAACTCCCAAATCCAGGGGGTGCCTGTGCGTGCTTGGTGAGTGCTGCAGCTGCACAGCCTGGAGGAGGGGAAGCCAAGACTGAGGAGGGGAAGGGTAAATCTAGTGCTTTTGTGCTCTGGAGACATCATCTTCCTCCTCGTGGGGCTCTGGTAGTGGCTGTTCCAGCAGCTCCTTGCAGCCACTGTTTGTGGGGGCATCGCTGATAATCTGTGTTGAGTTCTGAGCCAAAACAAGGCGTTTTCCACAAAGCAGCGTGCTGAAAAATGGGGACTGCAGGGTGGAGCCTGCTCTGGAGGGACCCCAGCAGCCCGTGCTCGGCACAGCCTGTGCTCACAGCCACAAAACCCGGCACTGGAGAGGGGCAGGGGCCACTGCAGCAGCAGCAGCAGCAGCGCTGTCTGGGAACAGCCAGGCAACAGCTAGGAAGTGCTGCAATTCATTGACTCCCAGGCTGATGCAGAGTTCATCCCTGCTGGGAATGCTCTCCCTCTCCCTGCAGCTTGTGCTGATGGGAAGCAGATTGGAGGCTGCTAATGAGGGCAAGCAGCCTCCTGCTCTGAGCCCCCCGCCCGTGTGTCAGAGGGCTGTGGTGCCCAGCTGAAGACAGCTGGGAAAAGCAGTGGCCATTGCTGGAAGGACCCTTCTCAGTGACCAGCAGCCCCCTTTGCCCCTGAAATGTATTAAATGTGCTTGGGGCTGATGCTGTGTTACCTCCTTGGGAAGGGCCAGCCCTTTCCTTCCCTTCAGTGCAGAGGGTTGATGCTTGGTCAGAAGGGAATGAAGGGCATCATCCACTGACCTGTTGATCTGCCAGAGAGGCAAAGGGGGATCTGTCCCACAGTCATCACAGTGGTGTTTGTGCCTCTGTAGTGTCAGTCCTTCTCTCTGAGTTTTCCTCTGCCCAGACCCAGACTCAGCAGTGTCTCCCTGTACCTTGAGAAATTTCATGCCAGGAGAGGGAATCACTGGAAAATGCTTTTTCTCTTTGGTTCAGCTGCCCTGCCCCCTTCACAGTTATTAACTGCAAGTCCAGAGGGAGAGAAGGAATCCTCTCCAGAGAGCTATGCTTTATTTCAGTTCTTCTCTATTCTGTTTTTCTGTGTGTAATGAATGTGTATATTCATGTGTTTCTCCAAAGGACAGCACAGTCACTGTCTGCTTCACAGTATTGGTGTGATGCATTCATTCAGTTCATAGTTTCTGGTGCCACTGGTGTTCCCTGGAAAGGAGAAGCAGGTTTTCCCTGTTGGAACAGATTTTTATGGACTCGCTTTTCCACCCATTTGGATCTGCCCAGAGCTGGGGCAGCCCAGTGTTCACAGCACTGCTCTCACCCAGGTGAGATCTGTGCTGATCAGGTGCTCTGAACCCAGCCCTGAGCTCCTGAGTGCCCTGATGCAGACACTGACCCTCCTGGGAATCATCTCCCTGCACTCTCCTGGTCTGCTGGGCTCTGGTTTGGGGAGAAGGAGATGCTCTGACCCTGTGGGCCAAGCTCTTGCAGAGCTGCCATTCCATAGGCTGCCAGAGATGATAAATGCTGCCTTCTTACCTGCTGTGACCTGGATATATTCCCAGATTTGTATTTCCAGAACTGGACTTGAGCTTGAGTTACTATGGGCTGAGTGCCTTTATTCAGCTGGATTTTGGGCAGAACTCACCCTCTGTGAGCCGGGGGTGGGGACAGAGAGCAGAGACTTCCCATGTTACACCTGCCCCTTGTTCCTGTTGATTCACTCCCGGGCTGAGGTCTGAGAGCCCCACTTGGGCAGAAAGACCACTCCATGGAAGAGCCAGATGAATCCTTCCCAGGGAGCTGCTTGTGCTGGAGCTGCAACCATAGTGCTCTGAGGAAACTGGAAGAGACCTACCTGCTCCAAAAACCCTCCCCACAGAGCTCTGCCTCCAGATCAGGGCTGTGCAGGCAGCAGAAGTTCTTCCCAGGCTGTATTTAAGAGGATTTTACATGACTCCTGAGCAGGCAGTGATGTCCAGACTGGCTGGAAGAAGGGGAAGGGAATTTCTGACTTGTGCTGGGTCTCACCAGCTGAGCCACAGCATCTCTTGGTCAGGGCATTATCCATCTCCAGTTTCTTACTACTGCTGCCACAGGATTTCTCACCCCTGCATCCTCCAGGTACTTCCCCACAGCTGTAAACAGGCTCATGTAAATAAAACCCTACTTTACAACCAGGAAAAGTCTCAGAGAGCCTGAGATGCCTCATTGGCACAAGAAACAGAGCCTGGGAGATGTGCTGGCCTTGCTCAGGCCATGCCAGGGCCATGAGCTGCAGCAAGGAGGGAAATAAGGAAAGCAAAGCTTGGAGGGAGTATTCTGCAGCTCTGGATTTGGGAGCCGTGGTGCCAAAAGCCCTTTTGGTGTGGAGGATTCCCACCTCTGCGGGCCAGGATCCCTGGCATGGATCAATGTCATGTCTCCACAGCTGTCCCCTGGCTGGCAGGCTCCTGGATCTGCTGCCATGCCCCTTGTCAGCTGCAGGATAAATGCTGGGATGAAGCAGGAGAAATGCAAGCTGGGTTTGTTCTCGCTGTGGGACTGCAGGACACTCTGTGTGTGTGTGGGCAGTTAAGCTGCTCTTGGCCACTTTTCTGTGCCTGCAGGTTGGCAGGAGGAAACCAAATCATTAGGGGTCCCCAAGCTTCCATCCTCCCTCACTGGGCTGGTAGAAGCATGGTAAAGAAAAGAGAGTTTTTCTCCAAATCCTGTAATTCCTACTTATATTTGTAAAATATAACTTGATGGCTGTGCTGTAGTGTGCTAATGACACCTTATTTTGTGGCTGAACTTCATGTTTGCAATAGAATAGCAGCAGAGTAGGATGTGAACTGTGGAAATACCTTGGGAAACAGCCTGATGTTTCTCCCAGGGGGCCTGTATGCTAAAATCTTTCCATTCTCCAGTCTGCAAACACTGCAAACCAGCCCATAAATGCCTCTCCAAGCCAGGTGCTATTATTTCTCCTTTGGCAAGAATGTGACCACCTGTTCCATTCTGTCCTGAGCTTAACTATCATGGTAAGAAACTAATAAAACCTCTCAAATGCAACATTATAGCAGCTCCTGGCAACATGGGGATTTTCACCTGGATAAAGAGAGCTGAAATACCAGTCCATGAGCAGAATTCTATGTCTCGTGCTTGCTGGGTTATTTCCCCTGTGACTCTTGTCCGTGGGGCTTCCCTGTGGGCAGAAAACGCTGTGCTTGGTGAGCCAGAGCACATTTTCATTGAACCTCTGTTTACAGAGGGTTTGACCCACGTGGGGCAGCTCCTGATGAGAGGATTTTGCTTGTTTGCCCCCAGATGAGGAGTGCAAGGAGGGCTGGGCAGCTGGGCTGAAGCAAAGGTGTGTTTTTTCAGTTGATTCTCTCGCCTGGCATGACATTTTTCAAGCTGAATTTGGGTGAAGCAGTATTTGGGGCTCTCTGGAGGGATGGTTATTTCCATCCTTCCCTCCAGCACGTTCCCCTGGGTGTGCTGTGTGTGACAAGGTGAGAGACAGGAGGCAGCTGCTCGTCCTGTGTGGTGCTGACGTGTCCACATGGGACCCTCCAGGGCCGAGTCCCCTCTGAGCACAGCGTGCCCCGGGCTGGCAGTTGGGTTTTGGGGGGTGGCACCCCAGGCTGATGCCTGTGCCTGTGTGTTTGGGGTGCAAGGACTGCACTGGGGGAGCTGTGGGGCTCAGGGCAGGCTCAAGGTGCCCCCCACAGCTGTGATGTCAGTGGGAGCAGCGCCCGCTCCTGCCGTAAAACTCCATCCACCCCCATCATCCAGGAGGGACAGGAGGCTTGGGCTTCCTCAGGGTGAAAGCTGAGAGCATAGAGGGTGCTGGAAGGTTTGCTTGGTGCTTCTCCCTGCACCTGGCCCTTGGAAGGGGTGTGATGTGCTGGGGGAGAAGCATCCAACCCCCATGTGAGGTGAAGATCCGTAGGCCAAGGCTGGGGGGGTGCTGGAAGGACACCTTGGAGGTGGGAACCTCATTCACCTCATTCACCTGTAGAGGCTGCTTGGTGGTGGAAGTGCCCTCTGTGCTGCCAGGGAGGTGATAGTATTTGGATTTGGATGCTCCTGGAGTGACACAGACTGTGCCAGGCCATGTGGGGGGTGAATAATGTATCCTCTGTGCTCCTCTTTACCTGCTTTCCCAGGTGTGTCCTGGGGAGATTGGAGTGTTGGTTGTTCCCTCGTAAGCAGGGAATGTGTGTCTGGGCTGGCAGGAGCTGGGCAAGCACAGATAAGTGGTGCTGTCAGGGATTTTGGTTCCTGCCCCCTTTGGGAGTGGGGAGGGGAAGGGCTGGGCAGGGGTGCCCAGCCCTGTGCTCTCCATTGCTGGGGCTGTGGGGAAGGAAGTCTTGTGGGATCAGGTGGGATGCTTGGTTGGGGAGAGCCCGGAGATGCAGAGCTGGAGCTCAGCTTCCCATGGCTGCATCGTGTCGGCTCCACTGCCATCCTCTTCCTCTGGCAGGAAAATGGGATTCATTTTCCAGCAGGGATGAAAACCCCCCTGGCTGCTCTGCCTACTGTGGTGCTGGGGGGTGGCTGGGGCCTTCCTTTGCCACCTCCAGCACGAGCCCAGGGCAGTGCTCAGGGGATGAGTATCCTCTCCACTTTCTCCACTTACCTTCCCATCCCAGCCAGCCACAGCTGTGCCCAGTTGGATGCAGCTCCTGGACTGGGCTGGTGGCTTGGCTGTGGCACAGAAAAAACAGAAAACCACGAGGGGCTCAAGGCCTTCCCCACCCCTCCCCTCCTTTGGCACCAGCAATGGAAGGGTTACATCCACATGCTTCTGTACAGAGCTTCTGGAATTCCAGATCCTCAGTGTGTTGGAGAGAAACACAGTAGGAATTGGAAATATTTGACCCGAGTAATGTGGTGGCATTGCTGGACATTCTTTTGGACATGGCTCATGGAGCTCGGGGGGGTGAAGGCAGCCTGGCTCTGGGGCTGTGCCACAGCCTTGGGGTCACACGAGGACACCACAGGGAAGGCAGAGGGGATGCTGGTCTGTCTCCTTGTCTTGTCAAGGAGAGGGGTTGACCTCTCCTGGTGGATGCTTCTGTGGAGCAACCAGCCCTCCTGCATCATGTGGAGACTCCTTCCCACTGCAATCCTGCCTGTGTCCCTTGAGGAGCTGGAATGGGCCTGGCCATAGGGAAGGGAGCTGCTGTGACAGCTGGGCTGTGCTCCCCAGCTGATCCCCCCTGCAACTTCCAATCCTTTTCTAATCATCTGCTGAGCTGAGTCAGTTCACTGAAGCAGCAGCAAAGCCAGGTGAGGAAATGCCTGTTCAGGGAGCTGAATCAGCTCCCTGAAGCACCAAATGACCTTTATACCAAAATTACGAGGAGCGAGTTCAGTTCCTTGGTTTTCAGCTCATCTCCATACCCAGCCCTGAGCTACTTCAGTGCCGGGATCAGGAACTGCCTGCTGTAGAAAGTGGCTGCAGTGCAGGCACCATGTGGACCTTCCCCTCCTTGGTTCCTTCCTCCCATCCCTGTGGCTCCCCGCAGACCTCGGGGGTCCTGCTGTGCTGACAGCTGGAGCTGTTCCCTGTCCTGGCAGCTGCACTTCCATTAGGAAAGGACAACTTTGCTGCCATGGGCGGGCACGGAAGTAACCCAGAGTGTCAACGAGAAGCAGTTTGTTCCTTTTGGAGCACTTTAATTGACTTTGCACCCCTGTAGCAGTGCAGGAGCTACCCTTGGTCACTGCTGCTGCAGCTCTTCCCGGAGCAAGATGGTATTTTGGAGTCCCTCCTCCTGTAGCTTGATGGTGGGATGGCTGCCATCTATCTACTGGAATTTGGTGTGCACGTACTCAGCTCCATGCTCCTGGTACTCGCCCTTTGTCATCCACGCGCGCTGGAAGGACGTGAGAGACGCTGCCATGGAGCCCCCCAGCCAGGCTGCCGTGCCCCTCTCCGGGCTCGCCAGGACATCAATCTGGACGCCCGTGCCTTGGGAAAGGAGGTTCAACCCTAAGCACATCCTCTCTGGGAAGCCAGGAAACATGGAGGAGCCACCTGAGAGCACGATGTTGCCCAGCACGTCCCTCCTGGCATGGTCGGGCACCGTCTGGAGGCTCTGCCAGGCCAGCTGGTGCAGCCCGGGGCAGCCGTGCTGGAGCAGCTTGGGCTGGAAGAGCGGCTCCGGGCAGCAGAACCGCTCCTTGCCCAGGGTTATCCAGTGCCCATCTGGCGTCTGGAATCGGGCTGGATGATGGCAACCTTGGTCCTGGAGGTCCCTTTCATAGTCCAGGGAGACGTAGCAGCACTGCTTCTTCAGCTGGGACAGCGTCTTCCTGGTCAGGGCGTGCAGCGCCGCGGGCTGGTTGGGGCTCTCCAGCAGCAGCCGGTGCAGGTGGCTGGAGAGGAGCTCCCCGGCCACCCCCAGGCGCTGGGTGCCCTTCCTCAGGGTCTGGCCCAGGCAGACGGTGGTGACGTGGGACACTCCCGCCCCGGCCTCCACGGCCAGCCCGGTGACTCTGCCGTGGGCGCAGAGGGACAGGAACCCGGTGTTGGCCATGTGCAGGGCTGGCACCCCGAAGCTCTCGAAAAGCACCTCGGCTGCCTTTACCCTGTCGGTGGCAGGGCAGGACGGGGACTCAGCCAGGAGCACCGGGTGTTCCTCTGGCGGAACTCTGAGGCTGCAGGAGAAGAGGTGGCCCCACAGGCTTTTCATGCCATCCCAATCCTCAACGATGCCGTGCTGGAGTGGGCAGGACCTGGGTGCTGCGGCGAAGCCTTCCATGCTTCCCATGGCAGTGGGATGCTGCTGGCTGTCCCTCCTGGGGCCTGAACTGCAGGGGTGCAGCAGCACAGTCCTTAGAACAAACTGGGGCTGCCTCTGCCCTGCAAAGCCACCCCGGGTGAAGCTGCTGCCGCTGTCGATGATGACTGCAGGCTTCAGCATGGCTGGCACTCCGGAGGGATGCCGGGGAGGGAGGAAGAGCCTGCAGTGGGACAAGAGGGGTCTCATGAAGCCAAACCAGGCCCAAGTACCTGCTCTGCAAGGGAGAGCAGCTCAGCCCCGCTGCAGGACAGCAGTGCCTGCTCTAGAAGTGTCTGGGCAAGTGTCGCAGCCTTTCCTCCTGTCTCCTCGCTCCATGTCTCACTGAGTACCCCTCCTTGGGTACCTTGTCTCCCTCCCTGGGGGCTTGGAGATTTTCTGGCAGTGCAAGGACAGAATTTCAGGTGGTTTTAAGGAAGCAAGGGAAAACTGGACAGGAGAGTCGAGTGGTTGGACCGAATCCGGGGCTGTATCCAAAGGAGTGTGCCCAGGAGGTCAAAGGAGGTGATTCTCCCCTGGTGCTCACTCCACAGCTCTGATCCAGAAGGACAGTGGTGGGGAATGGGCACACAGACCCATATTCCTTCTGGACACCCCTCCAGTGCCAGGGGGCAGGTGGGCTGGGGCTCACAGGGGCTGTCACTCAGTCACACTTGACGAGTGACATGGGGAAAGTCTGTGGGGTGACCCTGAACACCAGCACATGTCAGACATTCATCATGGAACCTCCCGTGGGAGCACAGGGGCTTGGTGGTGTCTTCCCAGGGAGGGAGGGCATGAAGCCAGCCCCTATCCTGGCCTACCAGTGGTGAGGGATCCCTGGAAGGGGCTTCCTGCACCTGGGGGATCACCATGGGGTCCCAGCCTTGTCCCAAGAGCCCTGGTGCGAGCAGAGCCGTGTGTGAACAGGGGGGGCACGAGGGATGTTCTGCCAGTCCTGGAACCCTCCCTGAAGCTGGGGACAGTCCCTTTACCTTGTGGCTTGTGTCCATCTGCTCTCCTCCACGGCTCCCTGAGCTGAGAGTGCTGGGGCCAGGGCTGAGACTGCTGGGGCCGGGACTGAGGGTCCTTTGGCTGGAGTGCAGATGGAACCATGCCTGCATTCCCTGTTGTGATCTCACAGGCAGTTGCCCAGAGGGTTCTTCTGCCCTATAGTGTCACTTTTTTCTGAAATAACTAAACATTTGATTGAAATCCACCTCTTTGAGTTTATTTAAGGGCCAACCCCTTCCAGATGTGGCTCTACTCCCCCTGCATGGAGTCAGAGGTGCCTGACAGATCCTCTCCTCTTCCCCGCAGAGGTATGAGACCTCCTCGAAGATAGAGCAGTTCCTGACCCGATTCCTGCTCCGGGAAACCATGCACCAGCTGCAGTCCCTGCAGGCATCCCTGGAGTGTGCTGTGGACACCGTGGAGGAGCAGGCGGGACGGGAGAGGTAATGGGGTGGGACAGGCTGGTCCTTCCCAGCCCCGCTCGTGTGAGTGCAGGATGGGGCAGGGTCTCTCTGGGAGGGACATCCCAGAGCAGGATCTGCCCTTTCCAAGCCTGCTGTGAAGTTGATCCCTCTGGGAATGACTTCAACCCCTTGTTCTGCATTTTCTCCTTCCAGAAAGGACATAAAGAAACCTGAGACTTCAGTTGGCCTGAGGTCGGGGAGACGCTGTGGGCGCAGAGGACAGAAAAACGTCTGTCTGTCTCCAACAGACCCCTATTCCGGGATGCTGACAACAGGTACCTGCAGCCTGGTGTCCCTGGTGTCCCTGGTGTCCCTGGGGTTGGTCTGTGCCCCCCCGGAACCTGGAATGGGTGTGGGATCAGCACAGAATCAATAAGGTTGGAAAAGACCTCTATAATCGAGTCCAACCATTACCCCAGCACTGCCAAGGCCACCATTAAACCATGTCCCCAAGTGCCACATCTACAGCATCACTGGGCAGCTCTGGGATGGAGCCTGGAGCATCTCACCAAGATGCCAGCTTCTGTGGGGTGTTGTATCCCTTGGGCAGTAGGAGAAGTTTCAGCAGAAATATCAGATTTTTGGTTTAAATCAGAGGTTTTTAGAAGATCTGTGGTTTTCTAGGTGTTGAGCAAACTTTTGCAATGACAAAATTGAGGGGTTTTTTTGGTGACATCTCTGTGCCCTTTGCCATGCAGGTGTTTGTGTCGAGGACAACAGCCAGTGGATGGCTCAGATCCACAGGCTCCAGCAGCTCATCGAGAAGCTGGAGTGCAAGGTGTGTGGCCAAGGAGAGCTGCTGGGGGCTGCCCCCCACCTTGGCATGGCCAGGTCGGTGCTGGGACCTCTCCCTGTGCCAGCACCCCCCGTATTCGGTCCTGGCATTGTCACAGAGCTGCACCCACTCACCAGACCCAGACTTGCAGTCTCCAGAGCCACCCTTCTCCTCTCAGCTCTGCTGACCCTCCCATGGTCCTGCTGATCTGACAAGTCAGTCAGGACCCACCAACCCCACAGGTCACATGCCTGTTCTCCCCCAAGTACCCCAGGAACATCCCCAGTGCACCTGCCTGTCCCCTGAGCTGGGCTGTGGGTTCTCAGGTTTGCTTTGTTGCAGTAATTCTGATTTTCCCCGTGGTGTTGAATGCAGAGCCCACGCCTGGAGCCGCTGAAGGAGGAATCCATGTGCAAAGAACAAGATGCAGTAAGTCCCTGTCCTGCTGCTCCTTGTTTGCAGGTAACCCAAAATGTGCACAGATCTCCCTTCACACAGCTCCTGTGCCCTGAGACTGGGTGAGCTCTGCCTGTGGGCTGACGAGGAGTCTGCAGCCTGGTGATGGAGCAGGGTGGGATTCAGGGCTGTGAGCTGGGTGTGGGACCATGCACAGGACAAATGCAGCTCCCTCAGGCCCCTGAAAGCCCTGGGCAGTGCCCACAGCCAGCCCAGAGGAAGGTGACACTCTGCTTGTGAGTGGCCAAATCCCCCAGGTGTGCTCCATGCACAGCCCAGGTGGAGGGGTCCCCAAGGCCCTTTCTGCTGCAGGAAGGACACTGGAAACTGCAGCAGGACCCTACCACCAGGGGATGGAGCATCTCCTGTTGGTGCAGTCCTCGGTGTAAAGGCAACCTGCCCAGGTGGGAAGAAGCCACTTCCTGTCACCATCATCCCCAGCACTGTGGTGCCGGTCCCACTGCGGTGCTGTGCTTGCTTGGCACCGCCGTGTCCCACAGCAGGGTGGGAGCAGGGAGGGCAGGAGGGGACAGGCCAGTCCCTGATGCCCTTCTGTCCCTTGGCAGCACATCCTGGTGGCCAAGAGGCAGATCTCGGTGGCCACGAGCAGCATCGAGGAGTTCCGGCAGGCGTTCCGCTCCTACACCGAGGGCACCGCCGGGCACAGCAGCTGCCTGCAGTAAGTGGGGGGGTCTGTGGGGTGGTTTGTGGGGTGGCTCCCCCAGAAATGGGGGCTTTAATATGGCACCTTTAGGGGGGGGCAAAAGGGTTTTTGTGGAGTGTTTCGTGTGCTGGTCAGTGCAAGGGTGGGTTCAGCACGCAGGGGTTGGACCTTGCAGAGAGGGTGAGTGTGTCAGGGCTGCAGCACTGTCCCTGCCTGCAGCACTGTCCCAGCTCCTGCTGCAGGTATTCCCAGTAAGAACCAGTGTCTGGGAAGGAGAGGGTGGGTTTTATGCCAGCAGGAATGGCACGTTCATGTAAGTGAGTGCACGAATTCCTCCAGCACTGAAGGACTCGAAAGCCGTGGAAAGGTCAAGGGCAGAGCTCATGCAGAGCGTTGATTTATGGACGCTGTGTGTGGGAAGCAGCTGTGAGCACCTGAAGCTGACCCTGTGTGAGGCCAAGGCCGCCCCCAGCACTGCTCCAGGGCTCTGCCTGCAGGGACACATCACTGCCAGCCTGTCCCTGAGATGGCACAGCTGCTCCCTGAGCGGCACTTCCCTTCTCCCGTGGGAGATTTCAAGCCGCTTTCAGCAGGGAATGTTCATGCTGTTCCCATTTAAAGTGTCGTTTTTCAGCTCTTCAGTTTCAGCAGCATAAATGCACGTTTTCAGTCCAAACAAAAGGAAGACGCTCGTTGTGACACATGTGATGGGGAGAATGGGAGTTCTTTTCTATGGAATTGATGGGCTTTTTTGTCATGAGAGCTATTTGTGGAGACAACAGGGTGGCGTGTCACGGGCAGGCTCTCCATGTGAGTGGAAAGCTGGAGCCAAGCCTGGGGAGACTCCACAGTCCTGGTTCACTCCAGGGAGTTGCAAAGCCCATCGTGGCCCCTCAGGGGGATGCAACCTCAGAGCTGCTGGGGGAATTGTTTACTGTCCCCCCAGAGCTTGGCCCCCTCCAGCAGCCCTTGGCAGCAGCTGGAGGAAAGGCTCATCCTCAGCTGGAATTGCTGCTGCTGCAGCCAAGTGCAGCTGGTTCCCCCAGCCCTGCACCCCAAGCCTTGTGCTCTCACCCCCCTCCTGCTGCCCCCCATCTTCCCAAAGGCTGGAGGCCCAGTCTGTTCCTGTGGTAGGAGGGAGTGTGGGGAGCATCACTGGGGCAATGGCACTGCTCTGGGGGCAGCAGGCTGTGGGTTTGTGCTGTGAGCTCAGCTCCTGCACTTGTGGCTCAGTTTCTCTCCATGTGAATGGTGACACCTCCTCCAAAGGGCTGGAAGGATGAGCTGTGCCAGTGCTGGGGATATGTGGAGATAATAAAACACTGACAGAGCTGATTCCCAAGCAGCAGCGAAGACCAGTTTAACAGTGTTAAAGCTCCTCTGCTGCCTGGACATGGGAGCTGTGAGGCAGGATTTGGGTTCGGAATCCCCTGGAGCTGTGTGCTCCAGCAGCCACAAACTGAATGCATCCAAACGGTGCTTTGGAAGCCTCGTGGGGAGGCTGATGTGCCCGGGCTGGTGGGGCACATGTGGCTGTGCCAGCCTGCCCGGCCCCAGCTCAGGGTGGCTCCTGTCCCCACAGTGTCTCTGCCTGCAAGCTGACAGACGAGGCCTGCTTCATCCTGTACGAGTTCTGGCAGGACGTGACCTCGTGGAGAAGGTGGGAGCTCTCTGTGTGCAGGGCTGGGGCTGGAGGTTGGGAGTGGCTCAAAGGGGTTTCCTCTCGGGGCTCCCCCTCCTTGCCCAGCCTGTCCTGCTGCTGGCACTGCTCACAACTGTGAACTGCTGCTCAGAACACTCTCATGTGCACCCTGGGGCTGTTGGCAGCATAAGAGAGTGCCTGGTGCAGCAGCAGCCCTGTCCCCATGTGTGGACAGGGATCCTGGCACCAGAGGCTGCACCCCCTGCACCCCTCTGACCCTGCTCCCTGTTTTACAGCCACTTGCAGTCCAGCTGCAGCAAGACTTTCCAGCAGTCCATCATCAGCTTGCTGGAGTCCCCGGAGCTGCTGACCACCATGCTCTTCCCAGGTGAGGGGGTCCCCCAGTGCCACGCTGTGCCCCGGGTGTGCTGCAGAGGGCAGGAGCAGTGCAGGAACAGGCACAGGGACTCTCTCCAGAGCAGAAGATTGCTTTAGGGTGATCTAAATCGGGTTTTTCAAGCCAGGGTGAGACCCACTGTCCCCGGCAGGTTTGGTTGTGTGAGCTGGTGGTGCTGCAGGGTCTGTCCCTTGCCCAGGGATGCTCTTTGGCCAGGACAGCCAAGCAGCAGGGGCACTTCCCAGCTAGCAGATAAGCTGGACCGTGTCTCAAATACACCTGGTGCCTTGTTTTGGTTTTCACCTGAGCCCTGAACCTGTTCTGCAAAGCTCTGGTGCTCCTGGGTCAGTCCCAGTGTCTGCACCCAGGGTTACAGCCCAGGGCTGAGAGAGGGGAGAGGCCAACACAGGGAATGTGCACATTCCTGTGGTACCAATAGAAATGGGACCAGATGTGGGAACTGGGGACCACATTAAGCCCCAGTTTACTTTCAGGGATCACATTCAGGTCTTGTGTAAAATAACATAAAATATGGATTAATTTGGACTGAACCCTCTGCTGCCAGCACTGCTCCTGACCTGCCGGTCCCACTGCCCACATTCCCAGTGCTCCCCTGCAGAAGCTGCCACAGCTCAAGGGGGATCACCCATCTCCAGGCCGTCCCATGGCTGTGCTCCCTGCCCTGGGAGGGGGGGTGGGTGCTTTAGGGCCAGGACCCCCATCCCTACCACCCTACATCCCTCTCCTGTTTAACACTGCCCTCACATCTCTGACCCCTCTCCCTCTCTCCCCAGCTTCCTGGTGGATCATGAACAACAACTGACCCAGGCAGACACCTCAGGACACCGTCAGCATGCGGGAGGACACGGAGCCCTCGGCACAGCCCTCGCCTTCCCTCACGTTCCTCCTTTCCCTGTCCCTCACCCCCTTCCTGCTGCCCAACAGGGCTGCCTGCCCTTGGCCCTGCCAGTGTTTCACCTCTGCTGTTTTCCTGTTAATTTACTTATTTATTTCCACCCCAAGACAGTCTCTGAGCTGCCTGGTGAGAGTGGAGCACTCCCAGAGTGCCAGGGGAGCCGTGTTTGGGGGTGAGACCCTGGCCCCTGGGGGACCACTGGTCTGGTTGCCGTGTCCCCTCAGCCCCTCTTGCACTCCAGCTCCTCCTCCTCCCGGTTCTGAGGGCTCCCTGAGGCTCCATGGGGTGCTGGGATGGGCAGGGGGACGTGGCTGGGGCCAGCTGTGACATCCTGTGCCCTGCCCACCAGAGCCACCCTGGGCCAGCAGCACCTCTGCCCAGGGAGTCAGGTGGCCTCGTATGGATTGTGAATAAGTGTTTTATAGGGAAAAAAATATTTAATGAACTATTTCTGGCAAGGTGTCCCTGATCAGGCCCTGGCATGCTGGGAGCCTGTGCAGCCACTGCAGTGGCCTTGAGACTGGCCTTGTGTCCACCACCTGTGCCCATCCCCAGCACACCCTGCTCCTCAGGGAGGTCAGCATGGATCCACCCCCAGCACATCCCAGTCCCTGGGGAGGCCAGAGTGGCTCCAGTCCCAGCACATCCCTGGGAAGACCAGTGTGGCTCTGGCTCTGTTGCTTCATGAGTTCCCATAAACAGGCATTAGCACCAGGCAGTGCTGCCAGAGAGGCTGTAACTGAGTTAACGGTGATGGGCACCATGGGAGGGGGGCCCAAAATGAGGGGGAAAGGCCCAGGGTTGGAGTGGCCCAAACCCAGCTGGTCCATGTGTCGTGCTCATGGTTCTGTTGTTGGTGCTGGAGCAGCAAATCCTTCACTGAGCTGGGGTGAAATGCATCATCACAGTGTGGAGTGAGGGGAGAAGGGCACACGGGGCAGGCAGGAACCCCAGGGACTCTTGGCATGGAGGACACCACTGTCCTTGTGCCCCTGTCTGTCCCCAGCACCCCCGTGGGTCACCACAGGTGCCTGCACCCTCGACACTCAGGGTTGCTACCACCCCTCAACCTCTTTTCCCTGGTGCTGCTCCACCAGAAATACTAATTTTGACTGTTTCTTCCCCAGTCCCTGGAGGCAATAAGTAAAATCCGTGGCTGAAGGGGCAGTGAGTGCAGCTCCATCCTGGGGACACCTCACACACACTGTGCTGGGCGGGTCTGACACAGTGTCAGCCCCTGCCCTGGTACCATGGAGTGACAACACAGAGGGGCTTGCTGGGCTTGGGGTGCTTGTTTTGCCCCAGCAGAAGCTTTCTAGGGGCTCCCTGGGTTTGGGATATGGGGGTGACACTGCTGATGCCAGGAGTGACCTGCAGAAATGGGATCAGGGAAGCTCCTCATTAGAGGGGAGGAACAGCAGCTCAGATATGCACCAACAAACCCTGTCCTACGTCCCAGGGCTGACTCAGGAACCAAACCACAAATGCTCCTCCCAGTTCCCTGGGAGTGCCCATCCTCTGAGAGCCCAGTTATGTACCCTGTTACTGATAACTGCTGCTTGCCCTGGCCAAAACCATGGTCACAGGGCAGGGGAGGCAGCTCCATTGCCAAGGGCCACCTTCCCCCCATGGGAACTACACACAAGGGCCACAGTGGGGCCGTGGGCCATTGGTAAAGGGACTGGGCACAGCCAGGGTGGGTTAGAGATGGACACCCAGAGTATCCACAAAGGGCAGAGCTGCAGCAGGCACTGATTTGGGATTCCTGAGCTGCCTCCCCAGCCCCACGTGGGGTTTGCCCCTCAGGTTTGGGCTTCTTCACCACTGGATTAGTGTTTGCAGGAGCCTGGAGAGCAAAATCATCAGATTAGGCCAATGTGTACAGGGGGCTGAGGGCACAGGGCTGGCACTGCCAGCCAGCTGTGACAGCACCAACCCTGCAGGCTGGTCTGTGCTCAAATAAAAGTAGTAAGTTCAAAAAAGCTCAGAAAAGAACACACTTAACCATGAACTCCAACATCACTGAGTATGGGGCAGAACTCCAGCTCTGCTCCCAGGCTTTGCTCAGGTTCCCCACAGCAACTGCAGCAGCATCACCACTGCAGGGGAGGCAGCTTTTGTCTCTGCAGGTCCCCAGCCAAGGTCACGGCCTAGCAGCATCTCCCAAAAACCCCAACAACAGCCTAAACACCTCTGCCTGTTCCCACAGAGAAGGGGGAGCTGGAGGATGAATATAGTCGTTTTATTGACTACTTTTGAGTAGAACAAACTAAATACATCTGTAACAGTTTGGGTTCCTTTATACAGGACATTAAATAAGTTATGCACAGGAATGAAGTAACAAATTTCTATTACAGAATTAAATGTTAAAAAAAAAAAAATAGAAACCTCAACCCAATGTCTTCCCATGTCCCAAGTTCACATTTATCATTCCATGTTTTTAAAAAACAAAACAAACAAACAAACAAAACCAAAAACAAAAAAAAGAAGCAATCATTCTAATCATGACTGTTAGTATTCCATTCATTTACACTGGGGTTAATTTTAATACACAGCCATCAACATTGCATGAGAATTATGGAAGACAATCTATTTACAAGCAATTCCTTCCAGCTCTGCCCTGCTCTCCCTTCCCATCTCACCCTGGCACAGTTGGCCACCACTGACCCACAGTGTCAGGTCTGTGGGTGAGGATGGGATGTCACAAGCACATAACTTACCTGAGGCTGCTCCAAATGTGCCCCTTAGGGCAGGAAAACCCTTCAGCCCTGGCTAAGTGGGGGTGCCAGGGCAGCCCCTTGCCCTGGTGCTCTCACAAGCCCCAAGTGCTGCTCCTCCCCACTGAGGCATCTTCTCCATGCCATGGATTTGGGCACGGCAAACACGGACAGAGCTGCGTTCTGGGATCCTTGTGAGGGTCACCTGGGGCTCCCCAGCCACCTCCATCTGCCCCAGGTTGGGTGACACCTCTGGGCTGCTGCAGGTCAGGGTGGCTCCAGTGCCTCCCCCACTGGGGGCTGCCTCAATCCCAGTGGCTGTGCTGGGCTCCATGCGAAAGGCTCTCCCAACACCAACTCCTGGGGACACGGGGAATACACTCCCCTCTGCCACTCCCAACCCATCTTCAATACCAGCCACGGTGGCTTTTTTGCATAACAAAACCTTGCAGACACAGGATAACCCATCCTATCCCACAACAGCAGCTTCCCAAAGGGCTTTCCCCAGGAGCCAGGGTTGGTGCAGCGGGGTCTCCCGTTCATCCCCGCCGCGAGCTCCGTCACGATTCATTACAGCTCCATTACTCACCTCCAATCGAGAAAGTGATCAAAAATAATTTGGGAATTACTCGCCTCATTGGGCTCCAGCCCAGCAATTGCACACACACAGTCACGGAAACACGGCTTTGCTGAATAGGTGGATTTCCAGAGCCTGTTTGTGCGACTGTGGGAATTTGGAGCAGCTCCCAGAGGGCACATGCCCGTCCCTCCCACGGGCTGCACCACTGCTGACCTCTGTGAGGCATCCAAGAGCAGCCCTGCTGTGCCCTGGGACAGCCCTGCTGCAGGTCTGTGTTAATCATTGCCCTGAATCCCTCCAATCCCTCCTTCCACTCCACAGCAGGGAATCTCCAAGTGACCTATCTCCCCAGGCTGATCACTCTCAGCCTGCATTTTTGGGATGGTCTCCAAAGGCTGGACGAGGCAGATCCTGGGCACCACCTGATGCAGCACCACAGGAGCCTCCCTGGGGCTGGGGAGGAGAAGTGATACAGGACACCAAGTCCTGCCTGTCTTTTAGCAGTTTGGCTGATGTGTGCAGAGAGCACAGGCTGTAAATCACCCCCTTGCACCCCGTGAGGATCCCTGGGCTCAAAAACAATGGCAGGAACTCACAAACCAACAGCTTCCAGGCAGTGAAAAAAACCCAACGCTTTCTGCACACCCAAACAGCCCCCAGGTGGAAAGGGCAGCTGCTCCCAACCCAGATCTGCTCTGCACGTGTTAGCTCAGCACAGGTCCCACCCAGGAAGCACACAACTGTCTGTCCCACCACAGAACGGGATGAAATCCAGGCCACCCCACAGTACTTCCCCAGCACTGACATTCGGTTTAAAGCAGACAAATCCTCTCTCCCTCTCTGCAGCCATCAGCTGCCAAGCTGCAGGCAGAAGCAGCGGGCTCAGTTTCTGCCATGGCACTAGAGGATGGGATGCTCCTGCTGGGGAATCGGCTCCGGTCTGTTCACAGCAACAACCGGCTGGCACGGCCACCTGAGGCACCACTGCTGGGAGTAAGGAAAAAAACAGAGGGATATTATGGAAGAAAGGTGGCTGAAGGAGGCAGCTCAGACACCTCAGGAAGTCTGAGCACGCCACAAGGATGGGGCTCCCTACTTGGGCACCACACGCTCAGCTTCTCCCATGTGTGCCAGCACTCTCCCACAGTCCAGGTCCCCTGAGTGGGTGCCCAATGTCCCCCAGGTCCTGACGATGCTCTGGTGCCCCCCCAGAGAGGGGCAGGGAGCTGCTGTGGGCAAGGCTTGTCCCAGTTCATGAGCCACAAAGGAAAAGGCAGGATGAGATGGCAAAGCCGGAGTGTCAGTGCTCCGAGGAGGTGGCACGATGGGTCAAACGTGATAACAGTCGTTGTGGGGTTTCTTTTCAGCTTAAAAAAAACTCGGGAAACTAATCAAATGGAGAGAACCAACACCTCCCTCCTAGAGCCCGTTTGTATCTATTGCTGTCACAGACGCTGGGGTGGAGGAGCGGGAGGTGGTCGCCGAAGTCTTCTCAAGGGCCGGGCTGGGGACGCCGTCGAGGCTCTTGGCACCCGCTGCCACCCGGCCCGTGGGCAGAGCCAGGGGCTTGCTCTGGCCATGCAGGCCTTGGCCACAGATCCGGTGGTGCCTCTCCCAGTCCTTGTGCTGGCAGAAGGAGCCGCAGTACCGGGCGATGTTGCAGCCGCTGCACGTCTCGCTGGCTTTGCGACCGCAGTTCCAGCAGCTCTGCAAGACCAAAGACACCACACTTGAAAGGGGTTTAGTTTCCAAGAGCTGCAGGATGCTGCTGACTCAGCTCTGGAGGGGACTGTCCATCCCCTCTGGCCC